TATATATATATATATGTTTGTGTGAAATTTGATGCAAAAAGGAGGGAAAAAGAGGGAATATGTTGTTGATGTTTGTTGCAGTGGCGTGTGAGGCACAAGCCCATGTAGCTGCAAAGGGGAGGCAAAAAGGGCACAGGCAGGAGGTCACAGTCGGACATGGGACCAATTCAAAGAGAGCGAAGGCAAGCCAAAAAAAGTGTGTGTGTGTGTGTGAGAGAGAGAGAGAGCTGCGCTTACAAGGGAGGGTGTGATGCAAGCAACCATTCCAGAGTGGAGGGGCCAACCCAACCCAACTGAACCTGAACAACTGTACATTAAAATACACAAGCCTCAATCAAACAAACAAACAAACATTAAGAAAAGGGGAGGGGAGGGGACAAAGTGTTAGTGCTGGTTGGTGTGACTCCTGGAGCTTGGACTGTCATCCATTTCCCTCACTTTGCCCACTTCTGAAGAAAGGTAAGCCCTAGATAAGCTCCACGGCCATTTACAATTATGAAAAATGGAGACCCTTGAGGAGGCAAAAAGGTGAAGAGCGCTCAAAGTGGAATACACCGAGGTGGGGAAGTATATTGTGTCGTTGGACGATGTGGAGGATTAACCTCTCAGAATTAATGCATTTGTGGGGAACATCAATGAAAACAGGGATGGGATATGGTTGTGTTAGCACATCTTGCACTTTACTGTAGGAGTGCTTTTTTCTTCTGTTTAACGGATGGTTTGTTTCTTTGCTTTATTTCCAAATTTTAAATGTAGAATAGTAGGTGATTTCTATTGTTGTTATGTGTAAATTTAACTGGGTTTCAAAATAATAATTGATTGTAGCTAGTTTTTATGTATATATATATATATATATATATATATGGATATAGTGTGATGAATTTATTAGGCAATAAATACATTACTCCACTTGTATGTGAATGTAAAACAAAAATGTAAATCTTATGCAATAGTTAGTAGGGTGCCACCTTGAAGCATACCATATCATTTGAATAGAAATAGTTGCCAGAAATTAAGATTTTATTTAATTTCTTATTAGACTTGAATTGCGAGAGACCTGTTTTTATTGCTAAATAAATTACTCATATATTTCTTGTGGGCAAGAAAGACAATTGGTCGTCAATAAAATTTTTTTAATAAAAAATTCATATAAGTTTAAATTGATCATTTTTTGAATGTTAATGTGGTTGTAGAAAATTGATTCAAAGTTAGAAATCTTTTGAGTTTTTATTGCTGATAGAGAGGCTTAAATTTTATTCTAGTTTTGTAAGATATAATTTTTTTATAAAGCTTGAATGATACTATTTAAATTGTGTAATATCTAGTTAATGTTTCCAACCATAAGAAAAAATTACTTTACAAAAAAAATTCAACCATATTGTACTTTCTATTTTTTTTATATAGTTATTGATTTGATTTAACTTTGAGGGCAATTGAGAATCACAATTATATATGTGTGTGTGTATATATATATATATATATATAATTTAAATATTCAAGATATAATTAAACATATTTTAATGATAAAAAAATGAAAATTTTAAAGAATATGTGTCAGATTTCTTTAAACACCTTTTTACAAATAAAAAAATAATAAACATATAAAATCATTCAAATAATGTAAAAAAATTGACATGTTCTAAAAAAATTGATTAAATTAAAACATTTTTACTTTTATTGTATTGTCAAAAGTCATAAAATCATTGTTTAGCTATGCTCAAGATAACAACATTAATAAAAGTACATTTTAGAAATGCTTTAAGACAAAATACATTGAATTCCTAAAAAGAAATTAGTACAACAAGAATTAAAAGTTATGAATGTCGTTCTTGTTTATTCATGTATTAGAAAAATATATTATTTAAATACTATAATTGGCACTGAGAGTACTATTTAATATAAATTATGTAATATTTGAAACAATGATTTAGAGTAGTTTTTAAAATAATAATATTTTATTTTTATAAATACTATTTATGGTTATAAATTCTAAAATTTAACGGAAAAAAGAAATTTTAGATTCATAACATATTAGATTAAAAAAATAATAAATTTAAAATTTTAATGCAACATTATAAATCTTGGTGCGATAAAACACTCATGATGTGACTATTAAATATTTGTATCTGTAAAAATAACTACAAAATGAAAGAAGTAAAAAATAGAATAATGAATATTACGTCTTGTCTATTGAGTATTTTTATACCTTCAAAGATAAATAAAAATCAAATTATTATTGTGACCTAGAAAATTGGTATGCTTTTCATATAACTACAATAAATCCTTATGAAAATTAGAATCATCTTTGTTTCAATTAAAAAAACTTCAAAAATTATCAAATACAAAAAGAATCATATTGGTCCAATATAACTTTTGCGAAATATTCAAAAAAAAATTTATTTGAAAAAAGACAAGAAATACAAAAAAAGAACTACCATCTTCTAATAGCAGCTAAAAAATGTAAAACTGTACATTTAGAAGACAATTATGAATACATTTTAGATGGAATACTTAACAATACACAAACTATTAAAAATACTTATATATGAAATTATTAAATAAAAAATTAAACTTAAAATTATTTTATTGATATATTTTGTGAAATTAATATTATAAATGCACTAAATTAAAAAAGAAAAGAACAAAAATATAATAATTTAAAAATAAATGATCATATATATATATATATATATATATATATATATTTAAAATTTATGGCTTAAATAATATATTTTTTAAAATTATTTTAATTGATAATTTTATTCAATAGAATTTAATATTAATTAGATAAAAATATTTAGATCTAACTTATGATAAAAAATATAAGTTTATTTAATTTTTAAAAATGTTGATTTTTTTCAGTGCATGTTTATTCAAATTTATGTCATATATATTTCTATAATACCTAATTATAATTATTAAAATAAAATATTTATAATTTTATTTATAATTTAGATTTAGAACTAATAAGACAGTACAAGAAAGGCATCAATAAAACTATGACCAGCTTAAATGTGCTCTTATATATATATATATATATATATACCTTTATTGATGATTTTTTCATTTAAACTTTTTAAAAATTAATAATTTTATAAAAAAAAAAATAATGTATAATGTGATGTGTGGAATTATTTACTTTTCATGTGGACTTAGATTGGTATAATTAGTCTTTAAAACTTATGTAATGTTTTCTCAAAATTAAAAAGAATTAAAAGATTTTTTTTAAAGATGTGTGTATACTATTTTTTTTGTCTATAAATGGTATTTAAATTTAAAAATAGCTCAATAAATATTATTGGTTTTGGTGCAACTTATACATCACTTATGTTTTAGTTGAAAAATTTATGTCTATATTGTAAAGAGAATTTAGATAAGATTTTTTTTTTTTTTTTTTTTTTTTTTTTAATAAGTCTTGTTATAATTTTATGTGCAACCAATCTCAAATTCAATGGTTTTAGAATCCTTGTGGCAATAATCAATAATATAATTGTCATAAAACTTTATTTTTATAAATTAGAATTTAAAATTTAAAATTTATATTACTTCTTCGATAATATAAAATTTAAATTTGAAACTTTATATTTCATCTTTGAAAACTTGTCAATGATGAATAATCTTTTAATAATATTTTTTGAATTAATTTATCATTTATCAGTTTAAAAAATGATTTATGAAATAATATGTACACACACACACACACATATATATTTATATATATATATATATATATATATATATATATATATAGTATTTATATGATTTAATATTATTTCTAAAATAAGAATAATTAGATAAGTAAATTAAATATAAGGGATTGTGGTGTGAATATTGGTTTTTTTTTAAAAAGAATAGAAAACTTTATCATCACCATTAGGCAGCAACAATGAGCTCCAACCTATGGGACTGTGCTTCAACCTAGTGTTCTTGACTTAAAGTTTGCAATTGGATGCAAGGGAAACAAACAATGATGATGCAAGATAGTAAGAGAAAATATAGGTTGATTTAAGATTTATCTAAATTTATCTATTTGCTTCATAATTGTCATTTTGATAGTCTAAGTAATGCATGTAATGATATACTAAAAGTGAAAATGTTTAAAATCTTTTATATCTATTTCTAGTTCTATTTTTAAAAGTACTTTCAATAAGTGTTTATTTAAGCATAACCAAAGACATTTATAATTTGGTTTTTTTAATAATTTTTTTTATTACTATATTATTTATTTTTGCTATTTCAACTATCATAAGTTTTTTTAATGATAATTTATAAATCTTATTTGTGGAAGTTGTTAAAATTATATTGAAGATAAAGATAATCTACAATGTCAAAATTAAGAGATATTCTATTAAATTGCAACTAAGAAGCTTTCTTAATAAGCAAACTATTAATAATTTTAATTGATTTTATATAAAGAGCATTAAAACCTATTGTGAAATAATTGACTATATTCAAACCTATTGTGAAATTTTGATTTTAAGTTAAAAATATAAAAGACTCACAAGCCAAATAATATACAAGTTTTCATAAAATAGTTACAAAAATGAATAGGGCGTAATAATAACTTTTATTTATAGCTTATATGATCATATTTGTGTTGTCCAAGTCTTTTTGTGTTTTTCTTTTTTTTAAGTCTTGGATTTATTAGAGAACAAATAATAATAACTATACTGATAATACCAACATTTCAAAGCTTAGATTTTATATATTTCTACCTAGATTTTATATGTTTCTATTAGCTCATTCATGTAAATAATCAATTCAATATCTATCTATCATCATAAATATGTAATTTCAATGAACTAAATTTGAGAATTATTCAAATTTACCAATCTTCTAATTTCTACGTCCTTCAGCTTATGACTATTAAATTGCATACATTTGATTCGCATAAATTCGCAAATGATATAGATAATATTCACACTGCTATGTAATCAAACTTTAGATATAACTGAATTGAGCTTCTAAACATGATATAAATGGAGCTGAAAGCAAGATGATGGATAGTAATGTTCCCAGTAACTTTGAGAGAATCTGAATCTTTTCAGTCCATCATATTAATTCCATCTGCTCATGAAAATTAACAATTGGATATTTTAAATCTCAGAATCTAAGTCATTCCATGTACTGTCTACTGATGATAATGTAATCCATACGTTGGAGAACTATTCAACACTAAGGGAAAGATAATAATTTCATAACAAGACTTTCTCAGTACACGACTGGAATGAACTTGTCTACAATGTAACCTCCTATTGTTACCTTCAGTCTAGTGTACAACCTCATTACCCAGAGCCTGGGACGGGTAAAGTGGACATGTACACAAAAAGGAAAAAATGGTGTGAAGCCAATATACAGAGGGCATCTTAATACAGTGTAACTCCCTAGTTGTGTAGGAAGATAACCTGCATCGATGGCTAATTCATCCATTAGTTTGCAGCATGCTACCTTCCCTTGCAAACCACCGTTTCCAAAAGAACAAATGAAAAGGGATTTTACACATTTTCCTACCAGGACTACTTATTTTTCTCCTCCCAATAGTCCATGGATGCTACTGCATGTCTCCTTGCTGCATATACGGAAGCAAGATCTGTTAATATTACCCACTGCAACTCCTCCAAGATCTACAAGGCATAATAATACTACGCAATTTCTCATAGTCTCTGTTCAGAATCTCTGCTTAGTTAACAGTAGTTGAACGCATCTGCATCTCAAGAATAGGCAATACCTGATTCGCTGCATACAGTGATGGCTGATTAGAAGGCATTGTAGACTGTACCACCATCACATCCTGCACACAAGACATCAAAATTTTACTTTTGCAACAAAACAAACTCTAGAGATGTACACAAGCAAAATCAGACTCACTGGCTTAGGGGTGAACGCTGAAGACTCACCGAAACTAAAAACCTGACTGCTGTGATAGATAAGCAGGAGAGCATGCTCACGCAGAGAAGAACCTTTTCTCAATAGTTTCTCTTTCCAGGAATGCAAGATACGTGTTGAAATAACCAAGCCAATTCCAATTTCGGTCGCTGTTTGAGTACAACAAGAGAAACACTTTTTGCTATATTCTCTACTTTCCAGCACAAACCAATAAATACTTACAGGAGCCCCCATAGGATAATGCACGGATTGTGGTGGCATTGAAGGGTAAAACATGCCTCCATACTGAACCTGCTCCCCTCCACCTCCAGACCAAGGTACTGCTGTCTCCTCTTCCTGAGAGCAATGACCATTTCATATCAATGACGCGTTCACATAACAAGGCAGAGACTCTCAAGGAGAAGTAAAAGACTTTAAGGTGACTCAAAAGTCACTTTCTGAAGCAGCCGTCTCAATGGTGTCAACTGATATAAAACTCCTGTTGTTCCATAAGTTGACACTCAAATTCTATAATGGTACATTTAGGTACTATACAATAATGCTGTTTTACACTTATTTTCTTTCCTTCTCAAGCAGTACAACACTTTTTCCAGCATGACTATGATCTCCAAACCTGAAGGTAAGGTCTAGCTAAATGGCACTCTGTGCTACCAAATTATTTATAAAACCATCCCTACCAATTCGCACCCTTGCGCAATCCAAGAATATTCTTCGTTCTTAGAATCGCATGTACGATATGGAACCCCAGATAAAGGCCCAACCAATACACAACAAGTCAACCCCAGACTAAAAGATTTTGAGAACGATGGATGATCATAACCCCTCTGAGATTTTTGAAACATACCTTGAGCTCATCGCGAGGAACAATATCCACGAGAAAATCAAAGATATCACCCCTGGTTATGGCTCCAGCGATATCATTTCTCTGTAGTGTACGCCTCTTATTCTCTTCTGTGTGAATCCATGACCGCAAAGTCAACTCTAAAATAAACATCTCACATGCCTTCGCGAACAGAACTGGAGCCTCAGCTGCAATCATCTGCCAAAGAACAGACATAGGAATCTTGTGTCACAATGATATAGTATATGATTCGGATCCCCAGCTCCGAAACAATTATTTAAGTCGCAGTAACAGCGGAATCAAATTATGCATTTAGGAGCGATTATGCTTTACGAGAAGATCTGCACTTACAAAATACACAAACTAGAGTCCGCTGGTGATAACCTACAAATGGGGGTCTGAAAAATGTTGTTCGTGTACTCATGCTACTACTTCATCGAACCAATTCAATACCCTACTGCCAAAATATTGCCGACGCAACAACACTGGAGTTTCTTCACAGAAGTTTACGGTTCTAGTAGTTTTCAGCTTAACATTTTCTTCGTCCAAGAGGTATTCAATACTTTATCTAACACATGAGGAGTAGGGAACCGAAATTCTCACCTTCACATCTTCATCTGACTTCATAATTTTCTTGATGCGTGCTAACGGCAGCTGGTGGTTCTTGAATTCTGTCCACAAAGGAGCCTCCGTTGTTAGTTGCCGAGAGCGTATTTACAAATTGAACATGCGTAAGTTTACTGCTTTAATCCTTATATAATAGTGCACTGCAACCTTACAGGATTGAACACTTCGGACAACAGTGAGAGGCATATTACTTGAGGGACAGCATTCTAGTGAAACCATGATGCGAAAAACTCGTAGACTAGACGAATGAACGCCTGGCTCAGGTCAGGTACAGCCCTCATAGTTTTGCAATGATTAGTTAGCACTCTGCATGTGCGAGGACTTGAACTTTTGAAGTTCCACACCTAAACAGTTCACTACTCTGAAAATTTGTTTGAATTGAATGCCAATACTTTGAGCATAGTTTAAAAGCACTTTACGAATACATTCATCGCGTGTTTTTCTGACACGAACATTTCTTACGACTCTGCGTCAACATGTAAACCAATCGAACAATAACCGATGCATATAACAATTGAAACAGTTAGAATAAGTATCTCACACCTAGCACCATTCTTCAGGACTGTACTTTCCATCCATCATGTGCGCCGATCCATTATCAAAGTTTCTTACTGCGTTAGGAGTTACTATAACGAATCCCCTATAAGAACTTATCCACTTGGCTGAGTCTTTATCCAGGTTCCACAGACGAGCTAGGGAATATCAAGGACGTTCTTATAGAACAACTGGTTACAGAGTGTCTCAAAATTTACACGATTTACAGGTCAAGGTGCACATAGATAAGTCGGGAAAAATGAAGAACCTGTAAGATGTGTCATGAGCAGCTCCGACTTGCTGGATTTCTCTGGAAAAAAAAAAAAAAAAAAAAAAAAAAAAAAACGTCTTATGAAATGAGAAGCCAATTCAAAACCGAACACTCTTGTTAAAAATAACAATCAGAATCACCCGAGACGACGAGAGGCAAGCCTAAAGCGGCACATGTTCATATGTACTCACGAAGGAAAGAATGGTTTCTGCACCATTTAACTGCTCCATTTCTTGGTTTTGCTGCTGCCAAAACATCTGCAGCTGTTGGTGCTGCATGTGCGAGTTCATCTGTCCTTGCCCTTGCATCTACACACAAAACCACCCACACACATACACACACACAGCGAGAGAGTTGTGCACTAGTCAGCAACCTCCTAAATTCTCAACTCAACCTCAAATCGCCTCACCAGCACCTCCACCTCCTCTAAACCAAAACGCAACCATCACAGTTATGATTCATAATTCCAGAAATCCAAAAAACTGAAAAAAACTCTAGAAATGCATTAAATCCTGCATGACTAGGCCAAAATCACTAGTCACGCCTCCTGTGAGAGAGAGATACAACCATGAACCAAATGACGGACTCATCATCTCCTCCCCTCCTGCAATGACGCGCTCACCTGGTGCTTCCCTTGCTGGAAACTCTGCTGCGCCGTAGTAGTAGCTCCGGCGCTGGATTGTGGTTTAGCAGAGGAAAGAGACGCAAGTCCATGCTGGTTCGACGCCATCGCTACTGCTGCTGCCAAGCTCTCTCTCCACACCTCTGCACCAGCGAACTCCCGGTTGAATGAGCCCGCGAGTGCCCGCATGGCCATGGCCCCATGCATGCTGGAGCTATGTGACCATGCAGCCATACCACCGCCATTGGAACCACCATACGTGTCGGCATCTTGATGCGCGCGAAGGCGATGAGCCCTACAAAAGACAGTTCTGTGGAGAACTCTGCTGCTGACACATGGCGACCTCTCATTGGCCCACCTTTCGGGTTTAACTTGCCCCCGCTGGAACTTACCCCGCGGTAGATTCATGGTACTTTTTTACTTTCACTTTTTTGGTGCGCGTTAATTCGAATCTGGTGTCATCACAATTGTTGTGAGTTTTTAAAATTTGCATTGATGAAAGAGTGTATTGGAAATTTTCATGCTTTAATATTCATGTGTATGGTTTTGAATTCTCCAATACATAAAATATTGACAACATTATTTTATTTTTTTCAATTTGTAAATTTTATTGGAATTTTTACACATTCTGTTTTTTTAAAATTTTATTTCCGAAATTAATTTAGTTTTTTTTTCTCATAACATGAATTTATTTGTCTTCTTCGTTGCTGATTTTAAAATAAAAATTTATTAATTTATTTCATGAAAATTTATAATAATATCTTTATTTTTAAATATTTAAATAACTTATTCCCTAGAAGTAACATGAATAAAATCAAACTAACAAAAATGCATATTTTCTTGCAAGTTGATATATCTAAGCAAGCTACAAGTTGATGCTAGATTAGATTTTCATTAGGTTTTGTTATTTTGCAAGTTGTGCACTCCTAGCATAGCACTACTTTTTTGTTTGAAAAACATGTTGTGTTGGATATCCTTATGTTTTAGTAGAAAAACAGCACATAGTTTCAAAAGAGTAAATTATCTAGTCGAAAAATTTGCAATGATATATTTTTGTAACAATATAACATAGTAAAAGTAGTGGTTGTTAATATAAGTAGTTAAATATGGTCATAATTGAAAACACATTATATATGCTTATTTTTGACATACCTTTCAATAGAAGAATTGTAAGAATAATAAGTTTTGTCTTTCCACCTCACAAGGACTTTGTAGCAAGAATGTCCAATAAGTGCAAAATGACAACTTAATATTGCTCTAATGTGTTTCTTTTTGCAAGTATGGATTCCAATGTTTAAATAATTTGTCTACTTACATATTAATATGTTTTTACTTAAACTTGTGAATTTTTCTTTTGTTTGGTAGAAAATTCATAACTGAACACCTCATCACACATTAGATAAAAGTTTATCATGTAAAATTTTATAAATCTAGTACATAAATGTGATTGTGGATTTAAAAAAATATGATAACATTACATGATGAATCTTGTATTGTGACAATCTTATATTGTATTGTGCAAAAACTCAAATTAAATTAGTTTGAGAAACACAAGTGGAAGAAAAAGAAATTATTATATATTTATTAAATTGGCATAAAACATCTGATTATGAGAAAACGACACAGTTGACTTTAATATTACCATTGCCATTGGAAGGTGCTCACTAAGGCGATTCATGAGTTGGTCTACACAAGACGAACCAATTCCATTCTATTTCCAGTTTGTTCTAATTTAAAATTATATATGATTATAACGAAAATGACTTTGGTTAATACAATTAAGAGCTGTACAAGTTTTTGTTTAAGGAATCAAATTACTTCTGTATTAACTACTTGAAGCTTTAGTATTTAATCAACAAAACCTAGATTTTAATACACTGCAAAATAACTTTTTTTGAATTTGACTTTTATAGTGCACACAAACCAAAGAAGATACATGATGTTATACATAGCTTGTTAAATGGTTTGCTTACTAGACCAATAAATAGCAACCAAGCCTTTATATATTTACATACATTCTGTTGGGCAAGACGAAAAAATAAGGATTTATTAATGATTCATCGCAGTATCAATTGGAATGCCTCATTGTTGCGCTCATCTTGGAATTCGTAGCCTAGTGCATTAGCACGATCAATAAACGCCTGCTCATCTTCCTTGGTTATCTGTAAGGCAACAAGTACATTGGCACCCATCTCACCCTGCATAATAAACAATACAGTACAAAGGTCCTTCAGTCCATGAGCATGACAAGTAATACTTTATACACTAATCTACCGCCTCAAAGCATTATGGGTACAAGTGAAAACATATTACAACTATCCAGGGCTCACGGAAAAATTTGAAAGAAGACCCTGCCTAATGCTATCCACCAACACTACCAGCACCATGCTAATATAATAATGACCAAATACTGTAGAGCATATGAAATACCTGTGAGCGGTAGTGGAAAAGTGTAATATTCCAGCTTGGTGAAAAAGCGTCAAGAAATTTCATGAGTGCACCTTGTCGCTCGGGAAACACAAACCGATAGAGAAGCTCATGCTGTACATGTGCACGTCCTCCCATCTGCATATATACTCGTATATCATTAACAAGGACGTGGAATGAACCCAAATTCATAAAACAAGCACCTGAAATTAAGCACCAAAAGACCTTGACAAATATTACAACAATCGCTGGAACGTATTTAACAATGCAACAGAAATCTTGAACACAAAAAATCAGCGCGAAAGATGAGGGTGGCACCAGATGCCGCAGATGATCTTTAGCAAGATCATTGTTCGTCAAGTCCATAGTGCGCATATTGGCACCTTCCATACGCTCCTTCAAGGCCGAGAGCTCCTCTTCTTTATGAAGACCCACACTGCGCAACGTTTCTTCCATCAGAATCCTCAGATAAAATACCTTCAAATCAGCGCGTGACATATAAAACTAGATTACTACGATTTCTAAAAATAAATCTACAGGATCATCTAATTCAATATAAGCCAAGATTCCAAGGGAACACTGATAGGTAAAGGCGAAACTTCATTACTTGTTGCACAAAATACGACACTCAATTCGTGTCAATGTAAAATGATTTGCTTTGAGGGCACATACCTGTACAAAACAAGAGCTTCTTGGTCGGTGGTGTAACGATATTTGAATTCTGTGATATCGACGGATCCAACCTGAAGCCACATGAGCTCATGTTATCCATGTATCACACTTTCACAAGGCACACATCATTGCACTAAAATAAGTACCGCTTGTAAGATACGATAACAAGTATTCGGGATGTACCATCTGTTGAAACTTCTTGAATGAACCTGGCTCTTCAGGCATGAAAGTTGCAAGAACAGCTTCTTTGCGCGCACCGACGTCAGCCAACTCTGTCACCACTCGGAGACGATCAAAATTCATATTAGCCCCACTTGTGATAGCAACCACAGACTCATCCTTGATACCATAATACTGACAATAGGCTTTTGCTCCAGCAAGAGATAAAGCTCCAGCGGGCTCCAAGATGCTTCTGGTTTCCTCGAACATATCCTGCGTCGAGTAAAAAAAGTATACATGTAACCAAGAAATGGATCACAGAGAAAAAGGGGGAACAACAAATCGCACAAAAAATATAATAATAATAAATAAAAAAAGGATCATATAAATGCATATCAACAACCATAGATAGTGTCCCACCTTGATAGCAGCACAAATGGAGTCACGGCTGACTAACACCACACCATCTAAGAGATTCCGAGAAAGTCGAAATGTTTCTTCCCCAACCATTTTCACTGCAACTCCGTCAGCAAAGCCCCCAACTTGATCCAGGACAACACGTTTACCATGGTAAAGTGACAAAGCCATTGCATTGGCATCAGCAGGCTCCACACCAATAATCTTCACCTGTGAAACAATAATTATGCACAAAAGTGACACTCTCGAAAGCAAAATCTTTAAACTACACTTAGATAAACAAAACTGATTCACCTAAAGAGCTATTATACAGCAACATCGACAGCGAACCATCAGCATTTTTCGGAGTGGATTGACTTAATACTAAATTCACACAACATTTGTTCATCCAAAACACAACCTCATTACTTAAAATACCCATTAAATAAACTCATGAGTGTAATCACAAACATCAAAATGTTCTACCGAAAACCTCACCTCCGGGCGAACTTGCTTCATATATGCAGCGATGCCTGCAATAAGTCCGCCACCACCAACAGGAACAAAAACTGCATGCAGAGGGCCCGGGTGTTGACGCACAATCTCCATGCCTACCGTACCTTGACCTGCTATGACTTCAGGGTCGTCGAATGGAGGAATGAATATACGGCCTTCATCTAAACTACGCTGCTTGGCATAAGCTTGTGTTTCATCATAAGAATCTCCAACTAGAACAACCGTCGCTCCTAACCTCTTAACCGATTTCCACTGCAAGTCGCGAATTATGTGTAAGAGTTAGACTCGTATTCATCAAGGCTTCTCACAATTTGTAAACTATATTGCAAGGCATATACAAAAGTTTGAAGTTGTGAGACGTTCCGAGAAAAAAAGTTAAACGTAGAATAAACTCATTTGTTTTGACAGTATAGCTCCTCCCATGTGAAGCAAGACTCGAGGTAATAGTTCACACAATTCAAGTAGCGAATGCAAAGTGCATCTGTGGATTACTTCAAACATTCTATTGGCAAGGTTAGACAATTACAAAAAGACAAAACCTTCCGCGACGCTAACCTTGATTTCTGGGGTGGTGACTGGCATAGCTATTACAGCATCGCAATTCAACCTACGTGCAGATAGGGCAACCCCTTGAGCATGGTTTCCTGCTGACGAACAAATCACTCCCTTCTTCAATTGTTCTCTGGGAAGCTTGGCCATCATGTTGTACGCGCCGCGCAGCTTGAAAGAAAAAACCTGCGGCCAGCAAACCTTCCATGTAAGGGTTGGAAAATCGTATGTTATTTAACGTCAAACAGCACTTCCATAGGATAGTAAGTAAATCATGCATTCTCTCCGCTTTGAGAGAATCAGGCTTCATGAAAAGCCCTGCCCTTAGTAATCATGAACTTCCCAACCATGTAAAAATGCGAGCCCTTCCCAGAGTACTCAAAATTTCACAAAGTCTACATCTGTCTCTCATTCTATGCTCCTACCACGACGATCTCACAATATACGGAAAATTGTTATCTAGATCTTTGAGAAGCAGATTTGTGTTGTCACAACTAAACTTCTCGCATTCTTGTAAAACAGAGCCTAACAATGTCTTACAGATCGTCTCTAGAATTGACGAAGAAACTCATGCATAATTGCAACAGAGAAAATCTTCAAGAGCACAGATGAAGAAGTTTTAAACCAACCGGCTGCATATCTTCGCGCTTCAACAGCATTTTCACGCCCAATCGCTCACTGAGCTTCTTAGCAAGCTCAAGAGGACTTTCGATAGCAACATCATAGACCTTAGCAGTCAAAATACGTGTCAAGTAGGAAATCGCAGTGGGAGCTTTACTGTCACTCTCCAGATCCCTCGTCCGCTCTGAAATTCCACCCACTTTACCCGCCTCGTACTGCAAAGAGCCGGGCATAACATGGGGATACTCAGGTGTGCTTGGCAGCGGCTCAGGCTTGGGAGGCGCATCCACGACAAGGTCTACATCAGCCGGATCCTCAACTGTAGGAGCAGCAATGCCAGAGGTAGCAATTACTTGCGGAGTCGACCCCTTGGGGCTCTGAACATTTCTTCCTCTATTGAGCGGTCCATCTACTGAGGCTCGCACTCCCACCGCAGTCCTCTTTCCCTTCCAACCTATACACAACTCCCTGGTCCGTACTGAACCACACTTCAAATCCTCACCACCACCCAAGCCTCCTATCTCCAATCCGGTCCGACCTCCAAGTTTACACGCTCCTTGCACACGCAAGTCCTCGTTCCTTGCAAGTTTTGAACCAAACGAGATCTCGGAAACGCAAGGTCTAACAAGATGCGAGGAGAGACTAGCCATGGCGGCCTTCACTCCTCCAGGAAGGCTTCAGCACTGGCTCGGAGTTTAAGCGACGTCCTTCTAGAGCAATGAGGGCACAAAAGTCCGCTATACTCACACACCACAACACCGAGCTACCAGAGGGGGGTTTGAAGACGAGAGACAAAAACCCTAAAACCTCAATATTCTTCGGAACTGAGAATATCTAACCGTCTCTCCTACTCTGTGGGCGGCTGATCTGATATACATATATATATAGTATGCCTCTCAGCAATTCACTGTTGCAACCCTCGTGATCTGGGTTCCAGTTTCGCTGAGTGTGAACCATGGCTGCGTTTGAGCCATCAGAAAAAGGCTGCAGACCTACGTTTTAGCAGCAAAATGTCACATGTGATGGAAGATGAGTGGATATTGTTTCGCAGGCTACAATGTTATCTCTCTTTTGTAAAGAAAAAGATGATTCGCTTTTAGTGACAGTAACAAATCATAATTAACGAGGATTTCGGTAGGAAGGTTCACTCAGAGGGTACACGCTGCCAAGAAACCATTGCTTAAATGCGTAGGACGAAAAAGACCAAGAGTGGCCTTCCGCAAGTGAATTGCTTACGTGACAACAATCCAATTAAGCAGTTTCTATCTACGTACTTTGTTTTCAAGTGAAGAATTTAGCGAACAACACGAAGAAAGAAATTTATGTAGAGATGAATCGAAATTGACAGCTTAGAACGAATGCGTTAAAAATATTGTGACTGTAATCATAAGAGTCCAGTGACCATGACGCAAGACGTTGGGTCAGGTTATGTAAGGACAAGACGCAGAGGTTCAATCTATAAGTACAACTTTCAGCACCTGATGTGGCCAGCAATTGAGGTCACAATGGCATTGCAGACGATTCCCAAATGCAAATCTCGGAAACTAGGCAAGACTAATCTAAGTTATTATGGACAATTGCGTTAGAAATCCCTATCCACACGCTGTAAGTGCATGGTAAGGCATGGCGCATGGCGTGCTAACCGTCTGACAGAACAAGCTCCTGAATTAATGATACGTAACATCCGACGTCGTGAAGATGTATTTACGCCTCTAAGTAAATTCGACAGTCAGTCTTCAACAGGAAAAATAGCGTAATTTGACAAGAATACATCCAAGACCACCTGGATGGCAGCAGAGTTTATGTACCAATGCTCAAAACATGACGGCAATTCCCACCGAATGTTTCAAGGAATTCTTTTCCTTCGAAAAATAAAATTGCCAGATGAGGCTAAGAATACATTGAAGAGGACCTTCGACGAAAATAAGTGCCAATACGCATTCTCGAGACATCCAGGAGTAATCTGACGAATGCTCCTTGCGGACAGAACTAAATGACTAACTCCTCCAGTCAACGGCATAAATTGACGGTAACAATTGAGCACACGATTGTTGAATTTTTCTAACAAGACCAAGGAACACAATTGCTATTGCCATTTCTGAGACCTAAACAAACCGTGAACCCTTACATACGCCTCTACATGAATGCTCTCATGTGTGTCAGGAAGGAATCGCTAGAAACAAAAATGTCCCGCGAGATTGCTGTAATCGGCGCATTTGCTGCGTAAAAGAAAAGGCCCTTCAATCCCAGCTCCCCTTGTTGCGGCGATCAGCCTTCTTGGAACCAGCCTTCTTCTTGTCGTTCAAACGCCTCTCATTGTCAGCCTTAGCCAATTTCTCGATCCGCTTAAGCTTCTCTTTCGACGGCGGGGGCGGCACATACGATGCAGCGTCGATCAATTGCTGAAGCTTACTCAAAGCATCCTCAATGTTCCCCTTCTGCGTCCTCGTTCTGGTGGACGAGATAACCAACTCCCCGTCGCTGTTCACCCGATTCTTCTCCGTAATCAGCAGCTTCTCTCGAATCCTCAACGGAAGCCACTCTGCCTGCATCACATTAAACCTCATATCCACTTTCGTGTTCACCTTATTCACATTCTGCCCACCCGCTCCTCCACTCCTGGCGAAGCTCACCGTCACATGGTCCAACGTGACCTTCGGCACGGGCACATCCAAATCCTCGTACTCTGGCAATGCATCCAACTCCTGCTGCTTCTGTGCCAACCGCGCCGGCATGCGTTCGCTGGAATCCGCCTTGGAAGAGCTCAAACACCGCCACTTCTCGCAAGTTCCACGCCATGGCAGCTGTACCAAATTCCCCCTCGCCGGAAACACTACAGTAGAAATTCGCACCCTGGGACACAGCTTAAGAGGAGAAGCCAACACAAGGTTTCTGACCAGAGGAGCCAAGGCGGTCACGGCTCTCGCTACCGCCATAGCCAAAACCAACACTACTAAACCTCCCTTTGAACGCACCCACCCACCCACACACACACTTCATGTCTCGCTTTCTATCTTCTCAGAAATTTCGTAATGCTTAAAACCCTCCAATTTGCCACCTGCATTGCCACTCGATGTTCATCCGTGAATACTCATGATGAATGTCCTCTCACCGTATTCATCCATTAACCTTATTCATCCATAGATCAACAACCATCACTTCGTCAGCTTTCATCTGTTTAATTATTCATCCATCCACGATGGAATGTCCTCATCCGAAGCTTAGGTTTCTTCCCAAACTTCTTTCACAAAGCATTGTCATGGTACCAAAGTAATTTTTGATGTTTAATTTTTATTTTTAATATTTTGAATAATACATACATGGAATATGTTTTTATTTATTTTTGAGAAGGATACAACTTGATATTTTAGCCATAATATAAAAGAATTTAACTAATATTAAGGTTTGTACAAATTGCTAGACATTTGTACAAGACAATATTAATTCAATGGGTTATGATATGCAATTTTTAAAAATACTGATAACTCAACAGAAAATATTTTTGGTATTTTTAAGACTAATAAAGGATTAAATTTAGGTATAATAGTCTCTATGACATTAGTTATAATATCATATAGATTTTAGAATGATGTTAAATTAGAACCACTATAATTTTAAAAATAAATGCTTATTAGGCAAAAAAAAACCTTGTCTTAGTTAATATGTTGGGTAAGAATTATTATTAGATATAAAAAGAATAAAAAATATTAATTTTGAATTTAAAGTATAATAGAAAAAATTCAAGATTTATAATTAAAATCAAAAAAATAAATAAAATTTGAGATAATAATATATTATTTAAAATTAAAAAATTATAATAAAAAATTTATTTAATTTGATAAATTATATTATATATAAACGTATCTACAAAGGTGATCTTTTAGTATTTTAAAAATTAAAATTTATATAGAATCATTTTAGCAAGAAAAAGAAAAAATACCATATTTTGTGTAATTTTAAAGGAATCTAATTAATTTTTAACTATAGATAAATAAATAAATAAAAATTGATTAAAAATTCTATTTTTTATTAAAAAAATGTAGTTGAATTATAATTTATAAAATTTGATCAACATTTATTTTATTTTATTAAAGATTTGGAAATATAAACTACAAGAAGTTGTTACAATAAAAAATTGAGATGTTTTTTAATATAATAAAATAGCAAAAAACAACAACAACAACAACAACAACAACAACAACAAATTGGACACTACTATATTGTGTTCTAAACATCTCAAATATTTCAACTATCAAGAAATAATGTTTATGATACAATATAAAAAAAAATCTAAAAATTTGTTGCATTAATATATATTATTAATTAATATATATATGATCTTTTTAATAATTTTTTAATAAAAATAACTATGAATCTTTTTATTAGTTTTTTTTATATATTTTTTTTATTTTTTTATAAAAAACTATACAATATTTATATTAGTAGATTTTAAATGAAAGAAAATTTACATTTGGTCAAGTAATTTTATTTTAGAAAATAATTTTAAAATTTTTAACTAAACCATATTTTTAGAGCTAAAAGATGAAACGTATTTGTAATATTTTTAAAAATTATAAATATAATATCTAAAATTAGATGATCTATATATATATATATATATATATATATATATATATTTCATATGAAAAGATGAAAATACATAATTACTTTGGTGGCTTAAATGATTAAAAAAGTTCTTACGATACTAAGATAAATATGTATATACTAGCAAAAACTTGTGCTGTTTGGCATTGTGATCTCTAGCATATCTATCCATTTCTTCATTCATCTTTAATCTATATCATAACCATCTATTTCCTTATTCATCCATGTTTCCTTGTTCCCTTATTTCCATCTTTCTTTGTTCTATTATTTCATGATTTTCATGTTTCCTAAGTTTTCTAATTTTTCTTCTTCACCACCAATTAAAAGATTTCTTTGTCTCTTTGTATTATACCTAATTTGTCTTATATAATATATATATATATATATATATATATATATAATTTTATAAAATTATTATTTATTTGATTTTTTTGAAAAAAACCAAAACTAAAATATTAAGATATTATAATTATATAAGTATAAAAAAATATTATCATATTTTACTTTCAAATAAAAACTTTATTTAATATTAAATCTATATATATATATATATATATATATAGATATAGATATATGTCTTATTTTTAAAAGAGCTTTAAATGGTCTTTCTTTGAATCAAGTCATAAAAAAAGTAAAAAATCAATCTATCATAAAAAATGAACATTTATGAATAATCAAATCAATTACAACCAAGCAAATATATAAGATTTATTTTTATAAAAATATGAAGAAGATAAAAGAAATAAACATATTCTTGATTATAAAAAAATTACAATAAAAAATTACAATCTTTTAGAATTTGTTTTTTTTTTAAATTAAAAAAATTTATTTATATAATATAAATAATTATAATATCTTATAAATAATTTAGTTTATATTAAATTATAAGCACAATATCATGATATGGCTATTTTGTATAGAAATTTATATAATAAAATTATAAAAAATTCTATTCAATAATTTTAATATTTATTTTTTGTAAACATAAATGTCTTGTATTAAGCTTTATAAAATCATTTGAATATGGTTTTGTTTCAAATTAAAAATTATTAAAAAATAAAATAAGATATTTTAATTTGTCAAAAAATATAAGTAACTTGTTGATTATTAATTCTAATAATACATGCATATGTAAAAAAACATGAATACAAAATAATCAAAATGTCAATATACTTTTACATCATCTATAGAAAGTAGATATTTACTTGAAGATCTATTGTGAAAGACAAGAAGATTAATGGCCCTTGAAACAGAATTAAGAACAAGAAAGGCCTTGATGAGACTAGAAAAGGCCTCATTCATGCCTCCATATATACTATCTAAAAAAAAGCTTTGTAATGACGTTTTATAAGTCCTATGATATGTATCCAACTTGTAGAATACATGTGGCACACATGTACCAACTTGTATTGCAAGTCATCAACATACACAATACATGGCAAAGTTTTCAATCTACCAATCACTTATAAATTACATATGAAGTCAAATCTGTGTCTATGAAGCTATTGTACAAGAGATTATTAAATTCACTTCCTACTTACTTATTTCTATATAATTTCTTTAATATATATATATATATATATATATAACAACATTATCTAATTTACACATAATTTCTACATTAATCACAAGATTGTGGAATTTGATTTTATTAAAAAAATTGAGATATTATTTTTTAATTATTTTTTATATTTTATTTTTATTTTGAGTATTTAATTTTTAATTTTTTTCTTTAATTTTCTATGTACTATTATTCAAATTATGTAATTTTAAAAAATAATAAAATTATATTCTATTTATAAAATAACTATATATAAATTATTAATAAAATATATTATAATATTATTAATTATATTAATATTCATTATTATATTTCTATAATAAAAAAACCTATGTATTAGTTATAATATTTACACATAGAAATTATATATTATATCTTGTTTAAAATATACCATATTTATCTTTTAAAAATCTGATATCTAAAAATATTTAAAAAATTTAAGCAAGATTTTATATTCATTAGATTAAAAAGTTGAATGGTTATTTTATATTATTTCTTCATTTCATTTGTTTTTTTAAACTTGTCAAATCAATGAATTGAGAATTTACAACCTTATTAAAAGATTGCATTGATTGATCAAACTCTATAACTACATTGATTGTTGGAAATCAGACTTAATGTGCTTTGGTACTATATTCACTTATTTTAATAAAGAATATACATTCTTTAAGTAATATGTGAATTGGATGACAAATAAACTAATATATTCATCTATTGGATATAAACGCAAACTTATTCGTAGGATGAAACCTCAACAATGAAGATGGATGATGATGTCACTTGCTGAAACTTAATTCTAAGTAGATGAATGTTAGATGAATACTACTAATACCTAATCTCAAATACGATCTAGAATGAGTATATATATGGTGCTTGCCTAACCACTATACAATCAACTTACTTCTTATTCTTGCTTATTCATATAGCTACTTGAGTATTCTAGTTGTCATTTTGATTAGTGATTAGTGTAGAAAGAAAACTATTAGAAAAATATAGATTTTTTTTTTAGATTTGGTGATTAAGGTTATCTCATCTTTTTTTGAATTTGATGATGATAAGCTAGCTATAGTATGCAATGACTTTGAAAATATTCTATGGCATTGTATATTACTAATAGAGGGTTAATAAATCCAAAAGCAAATAGAAAGAAGATGATGCAAATTATATTTGAGACATTCAATATCTTGGTAATTTAGGCGTGTTTTCATTGTATACAAACAAATAGATAACAAATATTGTTATTATATTAAGTGTATTCTTGTTTAAAAATGCAACAGGTATCTAGCTTTAGAAGGTAAGTAAAAATACAAAAATAATCATACCAATTCTAATAGAATCTTCAATAAATATTTAAGTTAACTTTAATAATTTTAGTTAAATTTTAAATAATTTAAAATAAATTTAAAGAATTTACAAAAAAAAAAAAAAAAAAAAAAAAAAACACAAAGAATTCTTAAATTAACATCAAAGAAAATAATAAGAAATCTTAAAGAAATATAAAAATAAACCTTTAAAGAAATAATAATAATCTTAGAGAAATATTAGAAATAGAAAAATTTAAAGAAACAACAAAAAATACTAAAGAATTATCAAAAATAAAAATCTTAAATAAAGCCTAAATAAATTCTAATCAAATTCTAATTTAACCCTCACTAGAATCTTAATGAATCTTAATCAAATATTAGGTCAAATTCTAATTAAAACCTTAATTAAAACTCTAATAGACCTTAATTAAATCCTAGGTCAAATCCTAATGAAAACTTAATAAAATCTCAAATCCTAGATTAATCTTAATAAATCCTAATAAAATCCTAAATCTTAAAAAGAAAACTCTTAATAAT